TCAGTCCATATTGCTTTATAAAAACACCTTGAAAAAACCCTGACCTTAATAAACCAAATATAATGATCTACATATAATTCCGAATGATTTTTCTATTCCTAATTAATTTATTATTATTCTTGAAGAAATTAATTAAATATATAAACAAAATTAAAAATGCTTGTTTCAATAATAATAAAAGATCCCTACAAAAGTTTCTAATAATAGTAAGTTCATAGAATAATTTTAACTTCTTATTAAAAAATTTAGTTGCCATTCTTCAAAGAATTTCAATAATTTTTTTACCTGAATAAACACATTGTTTATCAACGATTCTTTTCATTCATTAGCTGAATAGTAAATAGACATGAATATTCTTTAAGTTATTTCAAAATTCCTATAAGTAATACAATACATTCCTTGGAAGACCTTTTTTTCCTTTTTAATTGAAGGTAAAAAACTTAAAGACAGAAAAAAACGATTTATTCATGTTTATATGATATAATTTATAATGCGGATTATATACACTCTTTTTTTTTATTTTAATCGTTCTGCCATGATGATCTTGAGAATAATATGATTTCTTTATCTGTTATACAGTAATTGCTTTAGTTTGCACTCCAATTTTCTTAAACTTGATTTATCTCCCTTTAAAAATCAACTATATAAATGATAAATTTAGAAAATTTTATAGGATTCTAATATTATATATAGAGAACTAAATTCTATAAAAGAAGAACTTTGAGTGATTAAATACGAATGTTACAATTAATTATTCAATTAAAATTCAAGCAATTATTCCATTTTTATAATTGTTAAGGTTAATAACTTTTATTTATTTTATTAATTTATTTATTTATTCTATTTTTTTTTGATGGGAAAAAGTTAGAAAAGCTAAAATCAAGTTTATCAAAAATCATTTTGTAAATGTTTTACGTTTTTACTTATTTATTATCTGAGTTTTTTCTTATAATTTATTTTTAAAAAATAGAAAAGAATGCAAGCATTAAATTTTTATCCTTTTAAATTTCAATATTTGAAAAATATTTTAAATTAAAAACGAAAGATATATTATTATTAATAATAAATTATTGATCATCTTGAAATGTCTTTAATTTAATTTGTGCATCTAGATCACCTTGTTCGGCAGATTTTTCATACCAATAAATTGCTTTTCCTATATCTTTTGTAATTCCATCTCCTTCTTCAAACATTAAAGCAAGATTATATTGTGCCGTATTACTTCCTAAATTTGCAGCATTTTGATATAATTCAAATGATTTTTGTTTATCAATTGTAGTTCCAATACCTTTATAATAACAATATCCTAACATTGTTATTCCATCTGGATAACCTCCTTCAGCTGATTTCTTATATAATTCAAAAGCTTTATTATAATCTTTTTCAACAAAAATTCCATCTTCATAAAATCTACTAAGACTATATATTGCTATTATATTACCATTATTTGCAGCTTTTTCATACCAATAAAAAGCTTTTTGATAATCTTTTTCAACACTTATTCCTTTTTTATAAAAATAACCAACTCCTAATTGACCACTTGAAAAATTTTCATTAGCCACTTTTTCATAATAATCAAAAGATAATTTTTCATTTTTAACCGTTCCATATCCATGAAAATAACAATGACCAGTAAAATATTGTGATAATAA